CATGAAATTAAATCAGATATCATTCACAGGGTTTCTACACAACATACTAAACGAAAATAAAAATTCCACTTACATGGAACACTGTCATGCTCACTGGTAAACATCGATGTTTCGCCGTAAGACACTTGCCTTAGGGCTCTTCAGTACCAATCTGGATAACATTATGAGAAAAAACACACATTTCTTTCCCAAAAAGTACTCACTCCTAAAAATATAACCCTTTCAAATATAATAGGAGTAGATGGAAACGTCATTCTCATGACATTTCTGTCAACGTTAGCCAACTGTTGCCACCCCACGAACTACAACCCTCAAAAGTCGAAACTTGTGCGAGCCGAGGATTAACGATGTTTTACCTTCTAACGTGCGATTTTTAGCACGATTCACTCTTGCAGCTTAGAAACCTATATTTCAAAGAAATTTCCATTTTGCTTGCTAGAAAATAGTTGAATTCCTACCAAAATGAATGAATGAATATTTTAACATATACCAATATTCACACCGGGCAGGTATGTCAACAGAAACGGCTTTACGTAGTACTGAAAATCGCCGAGACCCCTCATGAATTGTCGTATAGTTGGAGCACCCAGTATTATTGGTTGGAAAAAATGTCAGTTTTGAGACAGGAATTGTCAGATTGAAAAGTTTAGGAGTTTCTGTATTTCCAAGAGTTATTCAGTCTTCACAAATAGTTTAATTCCATTAATATCTGTTGATGCGAATTCTTCACCGAGTGGATTTTTTTTACGAATTTTATAATAAATCGGGTCACGGAAAAATAAAATTATGTAAGAAAAAGCTTTTATCTACTTTCATAGTTGATGAGGGCTCATTCCAAATTACGTTCTCACAATCAATCATTCATGCATCAACGAGAAGAGAGATCCATGATATTATAAATAGTAGTCAAATTCCCCATTTTGCCGACTTTCAGCAATTTTTTTATCAAAAACTGCCCATTTTTTTAGTAGACTTTTGATCAGGACATTGAAAACTTCGTCATACCAAAAAATCAGCAGAATGCACCAACAGCCATTTTCCATAAGGTTTGTGCGTGGTCTTTTGATAATTTCAATATGCGGAACATCCGATAGACACATTCCCTCAAAATGTATATTCACGATACAAAATACACTTACCAATATGTCCATAGTTCAATAGTTTTTAGTATATTTGTGTAGTATAAAAAAATTGAAAACTTGAAAACTTTCAAATGAAAAACATGTAAACAACGTAAAGTGTGTTTAGTCGAAAGTGGTTTCATGATGAATTCTACTAAGTCGGATTTCCATTGTCTAATATGATTCTAATCTGATTTCAAATCTTTGAAAAGCTAGCAAACAGAAAACTCTCAG